AGAAAGAACAAAGATTGGGAGTCAAGGTGCTTGGCTGATGGAGGGCAGCCAGGGAAGCCACAGGACCTTCCATCTCAGAAAGAGACTATATCAGAAGCACAGATTGCAGTGACTGCGTTTTGTAAAGTTCCATAGCTATTTTGCTTGGAGATGGAAACCATTATTGAAAACCATTATTTTTTTCTTATATGTTTAAAGTTCAGCATTAAACTAAATCTTATCTTTTAGAATGGAGAAAGTATATTAGAGTAACTATAAGATATGTGCCAATTTCAAGTATCAGTTCCTACCTCCTTTTATTTTGACACCTTAAGAATATCAGAGAATGCTAGTTAACCTTGAGGGCCTGTCCTCTTTGGAGCCAAGGTCCAGCTATGGCTTTCTTAATAACCACAAGCATTTGTACATGAACTCAATCCACTGTTTCTGAATCATTAATACATCCTCTTGAATTGCAGGACTGCAGGAGTGCCTGCAAGTACTGACTTCAGCTACAGGACTGGGGGGTGGGGGGATCACAGATCCTTAGTAACTTCTGCCAGAGAGGAGGTCTTGCTTTTACACCAAGGAATTACCTCACAACATTCTTCCATGATCCCTGCAATCAATAGACCTTTGTTCTTTTTGGAAAGTCACAAGGCAAAACAAATGACCAAAATAACATTAGATAATAAGTTGGTAAAAATAATAAGGAATAGGAAAAAGAAAGCCATGAGATAGGGAGAGTAAATTTTGCCTCTTTCTACCCACAATCATCTTGTAATTTGGTGCCTATGTGTCCACACTGTAAAAATTGGCCTTTTGGTCTCATATGTTCTGATTGAGTTAGCATACCATGGAAAGACCACCAATAAACATAATCTACTGAATGTTATTTTACCAGGACTACTTGTATAAGCAGACACTGTGAACTGCCTCAGGAAGCTCTGCTTTCACTCTGGTGTCTGTGCCTCCTATAGCAGCTCAAGTAAATTCTGTTTGTTGTAAGATAATTGTGGTTGTTCCTTTATCCTTGCTGATGACTGCTTTGACCAATAAAATGTGATGGAAAGTCTATGGAGACCATCTGGGAAAGGATCATCATGGCTCATAAAGAGGCTCAAAGAAGAATAAGGCTTCCTTTGCCTTGGACAAGCACCGATATGCATCAAGACAGTGTAACAGCTTATGAACCTGTGAGGAGGCTGGGTGGGCAGGAACATGGAAAAAAACCTGAGTCCTTCAGAAGGCAGGAAATTAACCAACTCGCAGGACTGACTTTGTGTGATGATATAACAGATCCCCTCACTAAGTCATTTGTAATTGTTTTCTCTTTCTCGTAGCCCAAAGCTTCCTAAACAGTACCACCTGGGAGAAGCAAAATGAGATTGTGTCTCTGTGACAGCACCCTAACAATACAGGGATAATTGCTTCAAAAAAAAGGAAAGAGAATAAGATTTATTTCTCAATAAATGCTTTCGGAAAATCAGCTGTGAAAAGGCACTTTTAATAGTGACTCCTGATGCATGAGGCCCTTTGAAATCCTCCTACAGAGCATAAACACTGTAATAAAGTTAATGATGAGCCACTGTCAATGGTATGTATGGGGATATACAACATACTTGGAGTCATCATAATATGTAAACATTAGGAAACTACCATGAAATTCATCTTTATTAGTCTTATTTCCTTCCACAATTATAAGATTTGGGAATTTTCTTTCTGATTCCCGTTATAGCCACCCCTACCCCAATGCCTACCTTATAAAAACATAGAATCACACAACTGATAGGAATTCAGAAAAGTGAGGCCCAAAGAGGTAGAATAAATTGCACAAAAATCCAAAGCTAGCTGGGCATGATTTTCTCCACAATAAAAATTATTTATGTATGATTTTTAAAGCAAAGTAATGTGCTCAGAACTCAATTTAATGGAAAATCAAATAGCAAAATCTTGGAAATAAAAAAATTTTTTAAAGTGATTTAATGATGACAATAAAATCACTTAGATTTGAAGCTTTAAGCCTCTTCTTCCATCATTAATATTTTCCTAAATCCCACTCATATTCCCCTTAATACCATTTATTTTTTCCTAGAAAATCCTTAACATATGGCCGGCCTCTTCTGTAGGTCAGTAGTTCTCAAGGGACTCCTTGTATAATAGCTACCTGGGAAACAAACCAGAAATGCAGCTTCCCAGGGAGAGCAGCTGCTAGTAGAGTCACAGCATGGTCCAGAAATGCCAGGGTAAACAAGTACACCAGGTGAGCCCAACCACACTTGGAGGCGGGTGACTCCAGACTGCATACTAGATCCCAAGATCCAAATAGAAAACATCTAATTATCATAGTAGATTTAAGCTGGAACAACACAAATATGTGCATGGTTGCCTATAATTTTTATGTTCCCTCTGAGGTCTGAAACAAACCCAACCTCTCTGTGACTTAGATACATTTTGGTGATCATTTGTTTTAGAGGTTAGGGATTTTATCCTTTCCCTACAAGATTTACCCTCTCCTCTGAAAGTAGTTTTGAGATTAAACATAAAATGCCTTAATTCTCCTTCCATGGCTAAAGGAAATCAATTTTGGAAAATATTTCAAAAAGAGTATTATAAAAAATACACAATACATAATGTCTGACTTTGAAACAGAAGTCTGAGATACATGAGGTAAACAGTAGGTAATGAGAGATGTAAACACTGGGTTGTCCAGCAGAGTCAGCCCTGAAACCAAAACTTAGGAAGGAAGCTGACCATTAAGCAAGTGGCCAAAAGAACAACAGCTCAGGCCAATCTGAGGGTAAGTCTGAATCTGAGAAAACTAGAATGAAACAAAACTCTTGTCTGTCCCAAGTTAACTTTCTCTTAAAGCAGGATTTCCAAATAAGGACAGTAGTGTAAATGAGACCATAGTTTAAGTGGAATCTTAGAACTCCTCTGAGTGTTGAAAAACTTTTTTAAGACCTAGATAAAATCAGCAAGGCTCTCTTCATCCATCTCCTCTTTGAGGACATTTAAAATCTAGAAGCTCTGTAAACCAAAGACACAGAGCACAACTGACAACCAACCAGAGTGTGTTTCCTATCACCAGCTCTGACTAACTCACAGTAAGACAAGGGAGCTAGGTAATCTGTAGACTTCTTGATAGTTAAATGAACAAAGAAAGGCAACAAAACCAAGGCAATCATTCTCAAGTATCAAAAGTAAAACAGAAGACTCCAGACATGCTACAGAATAAATAACTCCAGGAACAAAACTGGTAAGGAAGCAAAAAGTCATAATCACATGTATAACCTGAATATTCTAGTTATGTCTTAGGTTAGGAATTATTTTACTCTGTATATTTTCTTCTTTAAAGAGTCTTAACAATCCTCAGAGCAATTTACAAATGGGAAAGATTCAATACTGGCTCTGTTAGATCACTGCTAACTCCTGGTTTCTTGGTCCAACTAAACTCTAATTCGAATTACACAGCTTGAAAACAACTACCTCTTTCCACCTTCCTAACCCTTCTCTTCCAGTTGCTCCCAGCAGGCTTCATAGTCTCCTTGAAACACAGAGGACATCAAGCTTTCATAAGCATTCCTCATATATTTGGTTGAATGTGTACCTGGAACATCCCCTGATATAGTGGGTACCCAAAATGTGTGAAGTTCTGTTTGTAACTGAGCTAGAAACCAGCTTTCTATTGCAACAAATGCCTGAGTCTGGACTGTATGGAACAAGCACCAAACTCATCACAGAGCATCTAGAGCTACTTTCTAAGCCATGCTCCATTGTTCTAAGCAAATTTCATCAGAATTCTTTTGACATTTTTTGGGCATTCTCCCTACAAACTCCCATGTTCCTAGCTACGCTTCCTACCTGTTTCTGAACATGCAGTTCTGATATGGCACCGCAAGAAGAAAAAGTTTGACCAATAAGGGAAAAAATTCCTTGACTCTGCTCAGTTGCTTCTTGTCAACACACAACCATACCTGTTTCTTAATAATAACAAATCTTTATGATACATATATGTTCTCTTCTCAGAAGGTAGTATCAAGAGCTTGACAGATGAATGAAAACTAACCTTCACAATTGGGGTATCAATATACCCCAGCAGGTTAATGGTATGAGCAAAGAACTGACAAGGGCCAGATTTACAGCACATCAGTTCAGTGAGTTTAGGGCTTAATGATTTAACTACTGTAGATTCATTCTTTTGTTCCCCTTCCACTCGATAATCAAGAACATCCTATCTAAGTCCATGGATGGCTGGAACATAGCATACATGTAATGACTGACACTGCAAGCCAAGTCAATAAGACCTTTCTGAAAAAGGTCAAGCATTAGTAAATACACTAAAACTCAAAACCATTCCAATACTATAAATACTCCTAGCATAAAAATCAGGCCCTCAGTAAATTCTTTGATTATGTCACAAGGCAAAAGAACATTTGCCAAAAATAATCCCCCTTTCTTTAGCCTTCTTCAAAAGTTTTAATATAGGTAACTTTTAAGGTTAATGACCTTATAGATGAAGACAGTCTATTATCCATACTTGACAATGAGTAAACTAAGGAATGGGTAGATGTGTGGTCTGTCTAGCCATGGCTAAGTGGCTTATTAAAAACAGGCAGCTCTAGAATCTAGGCCTACTTTCTCCAAACCCAAGTTCTATAAACCCACACATATTCTTGTTTGTCCTCAATCATCAAAAGAACATCTAGGCCTTGAAAATTCTGTGGTGACCTGGAATCATAGTCAACATATTCTGGCTTTTCCTTGACCATCACAAGAGCAAAATCTCCCTGCAACCTCTGCCTGGTAGAAGGTGCCACCCTTCCCAGCCTCCTCTGTGAAGGCCATCTGCCGCTCGCTATGCTCTCTGCAGTTAACATTTCACACAATTCTTTCCTAAGCTTCCAGCCTACCTGATGCAACAGTGGGAGAAAAATACAAGCACAACTGAGACCAGCTTCCTTGTGAAGATAAGAACTTTCTGGGGTAAGAGAAGGGCCAGCAGTGGGTCACAAACCTACTTTGCCAAGTGGTTCATGAGTAGCTGCAACATCTGTCGGTTCTTCTCTGGGAGCCGATGAACAAGGCTGTGGATTTCAGAGACCCGAGTCTCCTGGTTTTCTAGCTCTGCAAAGGAAGTGGGGGGGCAGTGTTAATGTTTTATTGGAGTCACAGCCAAGTCATTTGACAAGACCAAGGGAAAAGAAAGTTTGGGTACTAAGAGAGGAAAGATGTTGTAAGGATTTATGATCCTTTCATATATACATCCTTATGACCACCATGAATAGCTCTGGAAGTCCTTTCTTTTTTAAAAAATATTTTATTTATTATTATTATTTTTTTAAATGTGTATGCATGTATTGTCTGCATGTAGGTAAGTGCACCTCTGTCATGCAATGCTTGCGGAGGACAGAAGAGGCTGTCGGATCCCCTAGAACAGTTACGAACAGTTGTTAGCTGCCATGTGGGTGCTAGGATTCAAACATGGGTCTTCTGCAAGAACATTCAGTGTTCTTAATCTCTGAGCCATCTCTTCAGCCCTGGAAGTTCTTTCAGTGGTGCTTTCTGTATCACAGTTCACCAAAGTCACAACGTCCAAAAATTCAAGCCAAAGTGATGATGTGATGAAATGGAACCAGTCAATTGCACACCCAGGACAGAAACAAATGCAGGAGCAGCTGGCTCCCTAGAGGGCCACCTTCATTTCAAGGAAGGAAGGAACTTTATGCACTTGTAAAAGTGATAAACAAATCTTACGTGAACAACACTGCAGAGGTCTCAAATTTCAAAATAACATGTCCAGATGCACCAAAGAAATCAAAAGAGGTGGCTATTGTGCTTAAGTTATGTACAACAAACCAGCCTGGTAGGAAGAAAGCAATGACAGAATATTTTAAGTTCTCTGGCATTCTATAATCTATAACATAGCTGGTCATGTTCTTTTGATTGAACTTGGGTAAGTAGTTTCATTTTTCTGAGAAATAGATTGCTAGTACTCATCACACCTATTTATAGGACTGATGTGAGGTTTAATTAGAGAATGGTTGCTATGGTTATGGAATTTCTCTTAAGAAAGAAATCACATAAACACCATGTTCACTCCCAGCTTTCTCCTATGCCTTTCTCCTCCTTGCTTAAGAGGAACTTCAGGTATACAAGGCTCCAGAACATTAGGTACTACAAAATTAGGCCAGTAGTAACTACCAGGGTAAACAAACCCTAAAGGCTAAAAGAAACCATGGAGAGGCACAAGCTTTGGGCATGATAATACCATAAGGATTCCTGCCAGATTTAAATCTGATAGAGAATCTAACTGCCCCCTTACTGCAGGCCTGTCCCCACGTAGACAGATTCCAGTATACTTAGGGTAGCTTGAACCTAATCCCGATTTATTTTAATACCAGTAATATGATACTAGGGACCTGGATGATATAGCCAAAGAATGATCAGAAGCTGTAAATGGAAGGCATGATGGAAAGAGGACTGTGAAGTTATATAAATGGTGTCATATTCGGGGAAACACTTCCAATGCTCAATTTAGGAAATGTACAATGTCTGATTCATTCTGCAAAATGAATCTAAGGATGGAAAAAAAAAAAAAGGCAAACTTGCTTTTCTCTTCTCTCTCTCTCCTTCCTCACTACCCTCCCTCCCTGCCAAGAAAAACACCTCTTAAGTTTTTCTCTCCTACTGTAAATTCAAAGTGCTAGTGAGACTCTTAGTAGTCCTGATTTAATTTTATTTTTATTCATTTTTATGTCAGAGCATCATGAGCTCATATGTGGGCATTTTAGGTGTAGAAGATGACAGGTTAGATAATATTTATTTGAGGAAACTGTAACCAAGAGATACTTACTTGCTGCTTTGATGAAACTTCTCTGAAACTGGTACATCATAAGCGGTCCTGGAAGCATTCTAGAATAAAAAATACAGAATAGTCAACTCCACAATCAAATCATCATGCTCTTGCTAATCACCAAGCTGAATACTGTCAAATAGTGTTACAATTCTCAAACACAGATCACAGAGAAACAAAGCAGCTCAACATAGCAGCACTTTGATGGGAAGTGTGTGAGATTTTACCTGAAATTTTCATTTTCATATTTTCTCTGCCTTTTCCCCCACTGGCAGCATCTTGTTATGTTGCCAGGATGGACTAGAACTCACTATCCTCCTTCTGCCTCCCAGGTGCTGGCATTATAGGTGTGCACCACCAAACTCTGTCCCTCTCTCTTTTTTGAAAGGAATGGCCACGTCTATGCTTCATAGTAACAAATAAGTAAGTACTACTGCAAAATTCTAGCACAAACCAAAAGATTTCCTTTTCAGTCAGTGAGTCATTCATAAACAAGAGTACTTTAGGACATGTCTGAGAAACAAGCAACTGGTACACATTTGCCATTAGCTGGGTTTGAACGCTCATTTTCCAAAACCTTGTTGTTGGAATCAGTTCACCTAGAAACACTATGAAAAAATTCTGTAGGTGTTTTGTTCCCAAGAGGAGTACTGCCTCAAAGTGCCAAAGGGCTAGAAATCCCTAACATTAGGTACAGGACATTCTACCAGCTGTGTGTGAACAAGATTAACTACAAATGAGTTTTATTCTGACAATTCAAATAATAAACAAGCTCCCAATCACTGTGCTCAATTTTCATTGGCATCAGCTTCTACAACTCAACTCTTAGTCATTCCTTGCATTCCACCTCACTTGTGACTTCAATGTCCCAATAAAATAAAATCTGCATCACTAATTCCTGTGGTCTTCTTTACTTTCTAGTCAAACCAATCTTCATAAAACCTGTACACAGAGCTGAGCATGGTGGTGCACGCCTTCAATCCCAACACTCAGGAGGCAGAGGGCAGGCAGATCCCTGTAAGATTGAGGCCAGCCTGGTCTACATATCCAAGCCAGGTAGGGCTATGGGGAGACCCTCTCTCAAAAAGACAAAAATCAAAACAACAACAAAAAACCTGTACATAGACTTATTCAATTCATTATTCCAGTTCTCTCCGTGTATACATCTCATCTTCCTGTATAACTATAGTGCAGAATTAGTGTTCCTGTCCTTCACATCCAGCATAAATTTCTATTTGTGGAACTGAGTTGCAAGTAGTAAGTCTACAGCCCAGAGTAGAGATAGCAATGACATTGTATATAATAGGACAAAGAAAATAGTCTCTCAGAAAAGGCAGTGTTTCCTAGTCAAAAGGAGTTCCCCTAACTTCTCACTATTAAGAACCAATATAACAACATATGCTGTGCTATATACAGAACTGTCAATAAATGGGATATGTAATTAAGTCTTCTCAATAGAACGTGACACATGAGTTCTTGCATTCTTAAAGATCATTCAGGAAAGGCTACAGAGTTTAGGTTCTGTCCAAGGTTAATTATCCTAATACTTATCGTTAAGAGCAGAGCTTCCTAAATCACTCATGGCACCACTGCACAATGACAGACCATCAACTCTGGCCAATTTATGACCAGCCTGACCAAATGAATGTAATGCACCCATGCAGAAGCTATTTCCATATCTCAAACGCCCACCCAGTAGCTCTCTGAAGGCTTCAAATAAAACTGCTTTCTTCCTGACAGCAGCAATCTAGCTGGTGCACTGGCTGCATATGGAAACCCCCTACCTCAGGTAGGTCTTCAGCGCACTAGTAATGGTCTTTATCTCCCACTCGGCACAAATATCGGTTTCTGTTTCAGAGGCTGTTTTGGGGTCTAAAATGAAGAAAAGACAGTGCATAAAACAGATCATTAAACTATTAATAGTGAATACTCATACATGAAGGCATTCAACCTTACCATTAACAGGAGCAATGAAAATTAAAGGAAAAAATGACGTTTTTTTTTTCTTTTTTTTTTGCCCATCATACCAGGGAAATGTTTAAAAACCCAAATATCTATTGCTGGAAAAATATGGTGAAGTTGTTCCTCTCATAAATTGATAGAGGCAACAGAGATCACTGCAACAGTCTGAAAAGAAATTTGACATATGTGTACTGTCAAGAGCCCTAAAATGTTCAGAGCCTCTGGACCAATAATTCCATTCCTCATCATCATTCCTCAGGGGCTAAAACAATGCTGAATACCCCAGAGATGTGCTACAACACTCTTCTTTTTAACAGTGGAAAAAGCAAAAGAAGGAGAGGAATGTCCAATCACAGAAGAATGGTTACAGGAATTATACCTCCTTGATGGAATATTATGTTGTCATTTACATGATAGTGAAGATTTACATGGAAAATGCCTATATTATATAATGTTAAGTAAAAAAGTCAAGATATAAGCATTCATGAAAAATTTCACACTTAAAAAAGTCTGAAAGGAAACACTCAAATTACAACAGTGATTGGGTTAAAGTAATAATGGTGGTTTATACATTTTCTGAACTGTGTATTATCTGATTCTTTTACTTTTATAGTATTTTTTCCAATTAACTTAAGCCCAGATATGCAATGCATGTCATCAAATTTATATACTCTGTAGTCTCCTCTTGCAAGTGTATTTTAAGGAAATACATCAGTAAAGAAAGAAATTTATGGCAATTCTTAGCAGCACACAGACAGGTGAGAGTAGCAGGCAGAGGACAGGAGGATGAACAGCTTCATGAGTCAGCAGAGCCCACTGGCTGTGGCAAGATAAGGTATGTCATATACAAATGGGTTAGAGGGCAGATATGTTGAGAGAGAGCCCAGCTTCCTCAGGTAAGTCTTAAAACCAAGATGTGCCCAGGAATCCAGCTCACACCCTGTTCTCCTTCTGCATAGTGCCTCATGGAGGCATTGGGAAGTTCCATCTTCTTACTCCTTGCAGGGGTGGGGAATGAAAAGTCAAGGCAGATGGCTCAAAGGCACATTTCTGGATGCTGGTAACACATTCAGGAATGCTTTAGGACTTGTGCCATTCTGGCCACCATGAATTCCAGGAGATAATCTGCTGTTTGCTGGGCTTGTACCTGGAAGGTTATATAAGTACCAAGTGCTCCCATGTAAAGACTCAGAGTAAGCCCTCAAACAAAGTCAAAAACAGAGAGACGGTGAGTCTGGATAACATTGGTTCAGCCCTTGGACCTAACTATGCCCTTTCAGTCACAGAGGACAGAAAGACTCCTTTCTTTCCCCCTGTCTTCTGGAAAAGTTCTTAGGTTCACAATGACTAGACTGGCTCAGGTCATGGGCCATCCCAGAACCAGTTATCAGGACACCAGGGAAGTGGTATGCCTTTGACTACTTGGCCCTGGCTCTCATGCCCCACCCCTGGAAGGAGTAAGAAAAGACATATATACAGATATATATATATATAAGAGAGGGAGAGAGAGATATCAGTTTAAATGTGGCTTTCTGGTTTGTTATTTAAATGACATAACTAGATAAAGAAACCAGGTTATCTCTTTCTTAATAGTTCCCAAGACTGAACATGAAGCAAGAGTTTCTGCCTATGGGACCAACTAAGGACACTTTTTCTGTTTACTGGGAAATAACTCACTTTCATCCTAGTAGGAAGAGGACAGATACTCATGAATGGCTTAAGGATTTAGCCTGGAATTCCCAGGTAGGTGCACAAGCCAGATCGTTCCTACAGCACAGGATGTTCCATTGACATTTATTTACAGATACAATCAAAAGGGGCTTCAGCTGATAAACTATGCAGCTCCTAAGGGCAAGGCACCTATGCAATGTTTATAAGTGGATCTGGGCAATAATAAAGCCTTTCTTGTGACATGAAACAAACAAGGAAGAAGCATTCCTACAGAATGGTAAATTTCATACAGTTCCATTAAAACAAATTTCTTTACATGTTTAAAAATGTGATAGTCAGGGCTGGAGAGATGACTCAGCAGTTTAGAGCACTGGCTGCTCTTGTGCAGGACCTGGGTTCAGTTCCCAGGACCCACATGGCAGCTAACAACTATCCATAACTCCAGTTCCATGGAATCCTACACCGTGTTCTAACTTCCAGGGGGAATGTATGACATGGGTGCACTGACATTCATGCAGACAAAACACTCATGCATATAGTATAAAAATAATAAAATAAAATAAAAATAAAAATGTGTTATTCTCGGCATCCTGAATCTCCACCTTTAATTCTTTTCTTTCTATCTCTTGAAACTCCCTGGTTTTCTCTTACAGAAAGAGATAGACCCCAGACTGCAGAGGCTGATGCATTCAAGCACTGTGCTTAGCATGACCTTTTTCCTTCCATCCAGAAGACTCATGGAGAACTGCCATACTGCTTGGTTTCTGGATTCAAGACAAATGTTACTGTACATTTTTCTGAGGAACAGTCCAGCTTCAACTCAAGAAGAGTGAACATGAAACTACATCAGCAGCAGTTGGCAGGCCTGGGAGCAGTGAACTGTTCCATGAACCACATTTAGCAAGCTAATGATTAGCTTCCACTTATTCAGGCACTGTAACCATAGGAATATTGCATAACATTAGAGGGAGGAGAGTCAAATTACAGTCTGGCTAAAGGGCTTTTTATAGCACTGATGAGGCAAGGCTCATAACTTGAGCACATCCATTTTAATTCATGTAATATCCAAACTAAATTGAATACAGCCTCCCAAGCTACCTCATTTCCACAAAGGACGGCCAGTTTCCACACCTCCCTCCTGAGGCTCCCTTCACTTAATGCAAGGGTCCTGGTGGCATCTGAGCACATTGCTGAGATATTCTACAACTGCAACTGTCCGCAGAATCCAGGGCATTTCTTACTATGTTACCCCTCAACCACTGTAGACATTGGTAAAATAAACCTAAACTAGAGTAGTCCAGTGTTGGAGAGGGTGTCATGAGTGAAAGCAGTGAGTGTGTCTCCTCCTCTACCACTACCACATGAATTCAGAAAATCAGGGGACACAGACTGGAGGTCATGCTTGTAAGAGGACATTGTCTTATGTTACACCAAACCAGTTTCCAAGAACCATATAAGTCAACTATTATTGTGTTGCTGACAAAGACACTGAAAGACACTCAAAGTCACTGTGCACATCTAAATTTCCTAATAACACACTGTGATGCATGGGCATTAAATGTTTTTCATTACCTGAGGTTAATTTATATATTTAAAAAAATAATAATGAAGGCTTTGAGAGATGGTTCGGTGGATAAAGTGCACGCTGTAGAAGCATGAAGACGAGGTCAGATCCCCAGCACTCAGATGAAAAACCATACATGAAGGCATGAACCTGTAATCCCAACTCTCTGGGGAGGCAGAGACAGAAGCATCCCCGAGTTCCCTGATCAGCCAGCCTAGCACCATCAGTGAGCTTTATTGAGACTTCATTTCAAAAAGTAAAGTGAAGAATAACAGAACAAGACACCTAACATCAACCTCTGGTCTCCACATGCACACACAAGGCATGTGCTCACACATACCTGTAGACATAAGCAAATATCTTACACACAACAAGAAAAACAAAAATAGATGCATTAAAAAGTTAATCTTTTACAGTACAGGTAACTCCTAGTATCTTTTTTGGGGGTACATACCCTACCTCTACCAATATATATATGTATATATATATATATATATATATACATATATATATGTATGTATATGAAGACATGTGTTTTTAGAAACATTTACTCAAGCTTGCATATGGCTCTAGGTTTGATTCACAGCTGCATAAAACAAGGCAAATGGAAGCACATGACATGCCACTTTGGGTATTGTTTACCTTCATCTGACAACATCTTAGGAAACTATCTCATACCAGCATATGAATATATGGACTTCAAGTACTTCATTATAGATATGTACCATTCTTAACTTAATGTCTTCTTTTAATGGAAATTAAGGTTGTAGCCTTTGTTGCTATGTTAAACACTGATACAAACTACACTATTGTTTTTTTCACATCTTACCTGAATAATTCCTTAAAGTGCACTTACTGAGTCAAAAAATGTGTGCATTTTAAATTTGGAAAAATATTACTAACGCTCCCCTCAGAGATTTATGTTTGAGTGACTCCTCACATCTTTATAACAGATTATGATCTTCATAGATTTTGATCTTCACCAGATAGGTTTTTAAAAAACTTATCTTGTTGGTTTAATTTCTATTTTTAATGAGGAGGACACATATGAAACACTCTCCTGTGTGTTTTTAAAGTGAAATTTACTGAGGTATACTTACCCTTTTACAAGTGTAGAGTTCCATAATTCCTGACAAATGTATACAGTTATGTAGGTACCACCACAATCCAGAGAGCTCCATCACCCCCTAGAGTGTATTCTGCTCCATTATAGTCAATCCTACCCCTCTCCTTTCACCTCCTGGCAACCCCTTTCCCACAGCATACATAATATTTTTGAAATCTATCCATGTTGTTACATGTACCAGTAGCTTAATCCTTTTATTACTGAGTAGTATGCAATGTTATGGCTATGCCATAATATGTTTATCCATCACTAGATGATGGACATCTGGGTGGTTTCCAGTTGTGGCTGTTATGAATAAAGCTACTACAAATATTTGTATAGAGGTCGTTGAATGGACTACAGTTTTATCTTTTGGGTAAATACTGTATCTTTAAGACGGACTAGATAAAAATACAAAAGTGTAGATTTTATGGTAAGTATGTTTCCTTTAGAAGAAATGGTGAAATTGTCTTCCAAAATGTTAGGGCCACCTGCATTCCCATCAACAGAATGTCTGAGCTCTAGCTGCTTTGAGTCCTTAGTCATTTTAACTTCAGCTATCCTAGTAGG